CAAAATAGATCAGAAATAACCAAATCCCAATTATCCTCGAATCTCCATGAAAATTACATACAATTTATTTACTAATAAACCCCAAGTTTTAAGATATTATATTATTATATTATGTTATCATTTACAATTATTATTGATAATACACTATTTCTGATGTTACTTGGTCACCTATTTCCTGTTTACTTTCATTGAATACGTTTCTTGGTGGCCGTGCGTGGCCTAATAAATAAAAGTAGCAGGTAGCAATGTGTGATTACCCTTCCTACTTATAAATTAGGGATGGTTACGCCTAAACCCTGGATCCTCTGACTTTGCTGTTTAACCCAGTTCAAGTCGAAAAACACCAAGTGTCTAAACGTTACTGGTTCTAGCAGTTAATGCTTTCCATTAAAGCAAGAAAAAACGTTAACATGGATTCGTCAACACCACATTTTTTTTTCCTGGCGTGAACTATTTAAACACTTTCTAAACTAGAACTTTCTAGAAAAAGTAATTATTATGTTTTACACTTTTCTATTTCATATAGTGTGAAATGTTTTGAGAAAAACACATAACTCGAAACTAGTAACTTAATTTTTATGACAAAAATAAAATATGATTTTTTCTTTAAGTAAATGGAATATTATCTCGACGTTTGAATAATAGATTTTGTCCACGTTGATTATGATTTGTTTGCTAGAGAGAATATTAATAAAAGAAAAATATGAAAGACGAGAATTTTTTTTTCAGCTGCTCAGTGTTATCTGATGTACTCGAAACAAGTACGAAAGGTACTCTAAGTATTACATCAGGATATGTATGAAATCATAAATATTAATAGATTCATAGAGAGAGACGTAATAAAATGTGCCGTTTCTTTTGAAGTAATTTAAATCTATTTAAATATAACAGTACTATGTGTTGTCTGTTGTATGTCCATGTATCTACTTCGCAGGGTGTGGATGGATCTTCACCAAAATTGGTGTGGAGGTTCATTTAGTTCATGGGGAGAGACATACAAATTTGATGTTTCATATTTTATGTTTTGCAGCTTTAATGGGCTTTTTTTACAATCATATATAAGGGAAGCAACTTTTCATATCCTAAGACAACAATTTATTAATCATGAATTTACATAACTTCCGTTCAAGGGACGGGTATTCCAGCTGGTTAAAAATATATTACAGTTCTTTGGATACGTATTTCGTAAGCATAATGTTTTTACCTTAGACATCTAAATGTAACACGCGAATAAAAGTTTCATTTTTTCTGCGTGTGTTAGACGCTATTTCTATTACTTTTAACGTAACTTTGCGTTCAGTTTGTTTAGTTAATCTAATAATATTCACCCAAGGTTTTGAAAGGTTATAAAACGTTGATTAAAGTATCTGATTAGAAGTGTATAATATAACCAATCTTGACACTTTAATTTTAATGAATTAGTCCTTCGTCTTTGCAAACACGAGTGGTCTATATTTTTCTGAAGTGATTTCCCAAGTTGTCCTCAGTTTAATAGAGGATGCAAAATAATTCAATAAGCACAGTTTTGTAAATAATTCAATAAGCACAGTTTTGTAAATAATTCAACAAGCACAGTTTTGTAAGCTGTTAATTTTTGTAATAATTTATCGGGCAGAAAATAACAACTTTAATAATTGATTATTGCCACGAAAAGAAAAAAAAATCAATTCCTTGATTTACTGACAAATCGAAGTATTTGTGAACTTTTATAAAAAAAAATCAAATATTAAAACACCGAAAATCGATTGACCTGAAGCACAATTTTTTATGTATTAGAACATTTGCAGTTTTAATCTAAAGGAACGCATTGGAAGCATCTTGTAATTACGCCGTGTTTATATTTCTCTAATTGTCTTAAGGTGTACTCTAATTAAACACGCGCGCATACATAAACATATTGTATCTGATAACTATGTTTACTTAAAAAATGATTTAGAAATGAATACGACAAAGTATGCATATCTATTTTTAAAACGTTCAGGGAATATTTTTTTGTAAAGAAAGAAAATAATAATCAGGTTAATCCCCTAATTAATTTGGTTTTCTCTCATAAAATGCCGCTGCAATTAGCTTTTTCAATCTGTCTAATTAGAAAGGAGAACTCCCTAATTTAATAAAAGAGAAGTCTAGCTTGGAATCAATAGCCAGCGATTGTAAAATGAAAAAAAGAAACAAAAACTCTTGCCTAAAGTGTTCACGTGCACAGGCATACGTATCAATAACGTGATTGTACGGAAACTATTCATTCACGCGCAACAAAACCAAATCGCTTCATTTAGGATTTAACAAACTCATTATATTTTCTACCAACACGGGTATCGGAGGAAATTCTTGAGTCATTGTATTTAACGACAGCAAGCTCAAATCTGTGAAAAACTTATCGTGACAGGTGTACCATTAATCTCGATGCTTTGCTTCATTAGCATGAGCCAGAAGACTCAACCAGAATCTCTAAATAAAACGTGTATTGATTAATGTGCGAAGGAGGGTCATTAAAGCATCTGTAGAATTTGTTTCCAACGAGAATTCAATACCTCAATAATCCAAGTACGACAACATTAACAAAACAAATAAATGGATACTAATGAGGCCAGGTACCCATTGGTTGTGTTAAGGGTTTGTTCACAGTGTTTGTTTATTCGTTTTATACCTTGAAATATTTTATTGGCACTCAAAATTAAAACGAAAAAATGATATAATATACATTTACACATGCGTGTATATTAGCATATTTAGTATGTAATATGTACAGAAAATAGAGGTTGTAAAACTACAAATGTTCAAAATTTAAATCATTATTCCTTCCAGTCAAAGGTCGTGATGGAAACTGTTAACAGGGCTTGCATATTGCGTATTAGTATAAAGTTATCGCGCGCATGAAATTTTATAATTTCAAAATTATAAAACAATTATTACATATGTTTTTTTCATTATTTCATTTGGTTAATAAACAAAACTTTTTATAAGACGAATGCTTGCCTTGAAATAATTCATCATGGAATGAAAATATATTATAGTTATGTTATCTGGTTGAACAACGAATTAACAAAACATATATTCTGATTGAAAATACAATTTTAAAGCATTATTTCTAGCTCATTTTTCAAAAATCTTTATAGGTTTATTTCATTTTACGAAACGGTTTCATTGTTTTTATATAAGCACTATATTGTCACTGTCATAAAGAGATTTGTTAATTCATGTATATAACAGTATAAATAATGAAACTATTAAACATACTTGTGAGTTTGTGAGTCGAGAACACAAATATTTTTTAGTTCTGTTTAAGAATATGAAATATGGGATTGTATCCACTTCTAGTTTTTTTTCCTTGTTTTTAAAGCAGAAACAACATCGGTTTAGCTAACGTTATGACGGGTGGTCGTTATACATAAATCAGATTGCTTTGTAATGCGTTACATCGATGAAAAATTATCTCTTTAAGAAAACACATTTTTACTGCTTATAGGCTCAAGGTAAAAATTTATGTAAGCCCTGTGTAGACAACTACATATTTATATATCGATAATAATATGATACTTAAACCTTTTTACTCAACGATACAATAAGCATAATATCTCATCTTATAAGGTTAAGTATTTGGTGCAACCACAGACTGTACAGTTGCTGTACTATACATCAATGTCTTATTCTAAATTTGTAACGGAAAATACGTAAATATATGTTCGTGACAGGAATAATGTTAGAAAATACATATATTTTTGTATGTTCGTGAAAAGAGTAATATTTAGAAAATACATACATTTATGTATGTTTGTGAAAGGTGTAATATTAGAAAATACATACATTTATATATGTTTGTGAAAGGTGTAATATTAGAAAATACATACATTTATATATGTTTGTGAAAGGTGTAATATTA